TAGGTTGATACCACTGACATGTGTCCTGCTAGGTTCATATTACTGTGGTAAGTGTTGCTAGGTTGATAGCTCTGACATGTGTCCTGATAGGTTGATATCACTGACATGTGTCCTGCTAGGTTGATATCACATGCATGTGTCCTGCTAGATTGATATTACTTACATGTGTCCTGCTAGGTTGATATCTTACACATGTATTTTTCTAGGTTGATATCACTGACGTGTTCTGCTATGTTGGTATCACTGGCATGTGCACTGCTAGGTTGATATCTCTGACATGTGTCCTGCTAGTTTGATTTCATTGACATGTGTCTTGCTAGGTTGATATCCCTGGCTGGGGCCTGCTTGGTTGATATCTCTGACATGTGTTTTGCTAGGTTGATATCATTGACAAGTAGCTTGCTTACATGTGTCCTGCTAGATTGACATTACTGATATGTTTCTTCTAGCTAGGTTGATAGAAATATGGTAAGTGTTGCTAGGTTGATATTACTGACATGTAGCCTGTTTTATCTTGCGACCTAGCATGTTAAAATTCCAACATGGCATACCGGACATTAAACGACTGCAACCCAATAGTAAAAACATCTTGAGGTCAGCATACTAGTATTGCATTCTTCAACAATCGGCACGAGCATATACTTAGCATTACGTCTTAAATCAGCAGGAACTATCTGCGTGATGTGAATAAATTTTATGAAGACTACTAAAAGTCTGATATCGTTAATGGACACAAACGCTAGGACATAAACAGTTTAGATAACGACTGACGAGTTTCCCGATTTGGGTCATGCAGGCACATTTAAATTTGTCGAAGTTAAAAAAAAGTTTTATTGCTTTTTATCTCAATAATATTAACATCAAAACGACCTGTAATTGCATGCAACATATGCTTTTGCACTAGCAGGAGTCATCTATCAAGGAAAGAAACACATAAAAAAAGGTCTGAAGATATGAAAATTGGAGTATAATATTTTTTAGGTGTCCTTATTTGCACCCGAAGTATGTTTTTTACTTGTATAAATTGAATTTGTTACAATTTTGTGTACTTGCATGCAGACATTCCGATAAATGAATTGTAAATAGTTTATGAACTTGTCAACAATCTTTATTCATTTTCAGTTTACTTGTTTTCTGAAAACTGGTTATCTGCATATTATTTTATCATTTCTACATCTATATAATTGTCCTTTAAACTTGCATATAAAGTGCATTTAACTTTTCGTAAATGTATTTCAACAGCTCTTCCTAAAAATGAATTTCTTGCATAGACCATTAACTTTGAGAATATATTTGCTTTAACTTTTTTATTTCTATTCATAGTGTCTTGGGCTGTTTTCGTCGTTTGTCTTACCAACAAAACACAAGCATTACATCCAGTTTGGAAATAAGCTCTTTACACTATGAATTAAAAAGAGATGTGAAGTATAGGACAATGAAACAGCATTTCAATAAAGAAAAAAACACATATGCATGCATACACACACTACCAGAAAAAACTTCGCTGATGCATGATTATTCTTGACTTGCAAGACAAGAATTAGACCTCATTTAAATCCTTATGCATTCAACCTACGATGTGACCTCAGTTAGAGATTGCTGCAGATGTGCTCAGCAATTTCAGTAATTCGAAAGAATGTCAGCCAAAAATTGAAACTAGAAACCTCACCGAAAGTACGATTTCGTTGACTGATTCAAACAGGAGGGGGATGGGGGTACTAGGTTCGACTTGTATTTCTCAGTAAAAGAAAAGTAAAAACATAAGTAATATCATATCAGCAAAAGCTCTAAAAGTCCTAAATATTTTGTGAATTTGTTTATGGTTTTATTGATGTTAAACCACGTTCCTTTCATACATGGTGAATGTTTATTTATTAGTAAAGTACCAATATTTTAACGGACAGTAACCCGTAACAAATAATAAATCCTATAGTTTTTATTCAAGAAACAATTTAGAAAGACTTTAATGGGCAACCAAGAGATAATTTGATTACTTAAATTGCTCGAAGGTTTATCAAATAAATATGTTAAAGATTTATTGAGTTGTTCTATTGTTGACAATGTCTCTTTAACATTTAAGAGTGCATTCTACTCTGAAGCATTACTGTTCATAGGTAATTTTTCAATTCATTTAGTTATTCTTATCTTCTTTCACCTTAGTTTCTTATAAACTATTTTGATATTCGTTGTTATTTACATTCCTGCTTTGGCTTTGTCCTTATCCACAAACAATAAGCTCAATGGTCTCGTGTTAACGTGGTTGCTTCGGGTGAGAGAAATCATGGATTAGGCCCCTGAAAGTAAATATTGAACCCTTTCAAATTATGTAAAGTTCGTAATACGGAAGCGTATTAGCGCCACACAACTTTATTTTTTAATATTTCTTCCAATGTTTGCAAACCTTTGCGAAATAACCTTTGCGTTATAATGCAAACATATGCGAAATAACGCAAACCTTTTGCGTTATAACGCAAACATTTTGCGTTATAACGCAAACATTTGCGATATAACGCAAACCTTTGCGAAATAACGCAAACATTTGCTTTATTATATTTCTTATTTAAGATTCAAAGGAAGCAGCAGTTATAAATGGAGGAGGCTGCATATATTAAAATTTATCCCCCTTTGTACTCATTGCAAAGTAAAATGCTTGAATATTTAGAACATATCATTGACTAATAATGAGTAGGATAATAGATATAAGAAGATGTGGCATGAATGTCAACATTTAAGAGTTCATTTTACTCTGAAGCATTACTGTTCATAGGTAATTTTTTAATTCATTTAGTTATTCTTATCTTCTTTCACCTTAGTTTCTTATAAACTATTTTGATATTCGTTGTTATTTACATTCCTGCTTTGGCTTTGTCCTTATCCACAAACAATAAGCTCAATGGTCTCGTGTTAATGTGCTTGCTTCGGGTGAGAGAAGTCATTGATTAGGCCCCTGAAATTGCAATAATAGTAAAATATTGAACCCTTCCAAATTTATGTAAAGTTCGTAATACGGAAGCGTATTAGCGCCACACAACTTTATTTTTTAATATTTCTTCCAATGTTTGCGTTATAACGCAAACCTTTGCGATATAACGCAAACCTTTGCGAAATAACGCAAACATTTGCTTTATCTTATTTCTTTTTTAAGATTCAAAGGTAGCAGCAGTTATAAATGGAGGAGGCTGCATATATTAAAATTTATCTCCCTTTGTACTCATTGAAAAGTAAAATGCTTGAATATTTAGAAAATATCATTGACTAATAATGAGTAGGATAATAGATATAAGAAGGTGTGGCATGAATGTCAATGAGACAACTCTCCATTCAAGTAACAATTTCTAAAAGTAAACCATTATAGGTCAAAGTACGGTCTTCAACACGGAGCCTTGGCCCATACCTAACAGCAAGCTATAAAGGGTTCCAAAAATTATATACATTATAATACATGTATGTATATTTTACAAAGAAAATTGAGTAAATTGAAGTTATATCGAAGAATATAAAAAATCAACTCTGCTAATACAGCTATAGCCAAATATAAATATACTTCCACAGTAAGCTCTCGTTTGAGGATTGTGTAAGGTTGGTTAGATCCAAACAAGCTATCTTTTTGCAATAAAATGAAGATGTTTCGTTATTAAAATTATGTTCTTTCCATTCAAATTTCTACCCAAGCATCTTAAAAGTCACTTCACTAGATTGAAATGAAAATTCTATGACTTTCTATTTCTATTGAGATTTAGAAAAACGATTTCTTGCATCAAAATTTAAAAAAAAAATATTTCTTTATTAACAATTCATTTTAAAGCAGAAAGATCAGTGTGTGTATTTGACTTGCACAAATGTATGACATTATTTTTGCTCTTTCAATTAAAATATGCCTATACCATATCTATTTTCTTGTTAAATTATATACTTTTCTGATGCACACATCATTCTTAATTTATGTATAATGGCACTTCAAGTATTCCCTTATTCCTATGCATAATTTTTATAATGATTTGGCCTTGTATTTATGGTTCTTTTCTTATCTAAAATCACAACCGAAATTAATGGCAGACGAACATATATACAAAACTTAATGAATAATTGAAATCAAGATGTTTGCGTTATTTCGCAAAGGTTTGCGTTATATCGCAAAGGTTTGCGTTATTTCGCAAATGTTTGCGTTATTTCGCAAATGTTTGCGTTATAACGCAAAGGTTTGCGTTATTTCGCAAAGGTTTGCGTTATAAGGCAAACATAGGAAGAAATATTAAAAAAAAAGTTGTGTGGCGCTAATACGCTTCCGTAAAGTTGAGTGATGCATGAATAAGTTCATATAATCTGGACACTTTAATGCAGAAAGGTCACTTGTGATGTCACTATGATGGCATATACATGTCAAAATTGACAAATTTGACTTAAAATGGCTATTTTACACATATTGTTTTGAATACAATAGATGTGAGCCAAGACTTTACCCAAAAAGGTATTTCCTAAGCAAAAAACTATCTTGTAGCAAAATATAATTTTCGGGTAAAGCCTTGCCTATGTAGGGGAAATTAAGGACAAGATCTCAGAATGAGGCAATCAGTTTTGACAGGTTTTTTTTCTCAGTTTTGACCTAAATTCAATAAGTTTGAATGGCTACTGCAAATATACAAGGACAAAATTCAATATATAAACAATGATGTCTGACAGATGTCTGACTGATGGCTTCTTTTATTTTTTTTTTTTATTCAAGGAGCCAAAAAAGTTGCAACAATATTCCTTCTCCTTTGCAAACTATTAAAGCCAGAGTTAAATGAACAAAATCCGATTACTCTAAATAATGGTAAATATAGATATCGGATTAGAAATCACCAATAAAACACAGACTAATCTTAAACCTTTCGGAATTTTGGGTCCTTCTTGTTCTTCAACTTCGTACTTTACACTGAGAAAGCCACGGATCAGTTCTGCGCCTCCTTCCATATGACGTAATGGACATGAATTCAAGGGCGACAATCGCGAATTTTACATAGACGGCGACAGTATCGCGCCATCTCGGTCGTAACTGACACGTTACCAAATTTCTGTTTTATTATCACAGAAACATTATTTACAGGTATAGTTGATTAATAGTGAGTCGATTTGATTACACTTTTGCACAGAATGATCTACATTAGGAATGAAGAAAATGTCAACTTATCATTCAGCTTTTTGTTAAATTAAAAGTTTGCCGACGTGGACTACTTGGCTGCGGTTTTCGTTATTTTCACCCGGGTATTTTTTTTCTGTATAATGCATTACGAAAGCGTTTTTTTGTGGATAGTATTAAATTAGTTGTAAGATCAAGCAGTGATTGCAGAATTGATTTAAATATTGCTGTATATTTTTGTTACAGAGAGAGACGTGGTAAACTTGGTAAAAAGTATCCCATCTAGAAATTTTCAGGATGGATCCTCATGTTATCATTATAGGTATTGTTGCCTTTGTTGTCTCTGCTATGATGATATATCTAATATCTGCATTTGGATTCAAAGAGAAGTCGTATGAGGAGGCTGTAGCTGAACAGAAGGAGAGACTAGAAGCTGAGCAAGATAAGGTTAAAAAAGAGAAGAAAGCCAAGAAAGAAAAGTTGGCAGGTATGTTTTAGTCCCGGTGCGTCATGCTTCGGAGGATATGATAATGTTCTCTGTCTGTCCATAACACATCAATACTTAGAGACCATTCGCCATAAAGCTTTCATACTTGGTAGGAATATTTGTCGTCATATTATCTTGAACATGCATCAGTTGCTTTTACCATTTTTATACGACCGCAAAAAATTTTGCGGTCGTATATTGGTATCACTTCGTCGTCGTCGGCGGCGGCGGCGGCGTCAGCGTTGTCCGAAGACATTTGGTTTCCGGACAATAACTTTAGTATAAAGCCACACCAAATTAATTTCTAGTTCTTCGGACTCTTTCCTTTCAAAAAGGGTAGCGAGAGAGCGAAATTTTTTTATTTGTTCTTTTTTTTTTTTTTACCAAAATTTTATTTTTGGCAGGCGAAACAATTTTCTACTAGCGAGGGATATTATTTTTTAAATAATTTAAAAAAAAAAATTCTGAAAAGAATTTTAAGCGAGCGAGCGATTAGAAATTTACATCGTTTCGATGCTTGATATTTTATATATCTCATATCCTAGTTCTTATATTACCCTACTTTGCTTCTCAATTTGTTCTCTGACACCCAGTTTAATCTTGTCTCAACATTTCCAAGTATAAAATGGTAAACTTTTAGCAAAACCTACAACTTCTTGTAGTCCGATCAAATAAATATGATCCTACTAAACAAAGTCAAAGTCAAAGAGTCAAAGATTTTATTGATATAAAATCCAAAATATGGATTGTCATCAACACACAAAGAACAAACATTAATCATTACAATCAATTATATAACAATACAGAACATAAAAAGAAAAGTGCAACAGCTTTGAACAGCATTGTATGCGCTTTCAAATAACAATAATCAAAGCATTAATGCATGTATAAAGCTTGTATATGCAACCATAAATATTTCATATACAACAAGCTGAAAATAAGTAAAGGGCTGTCATTCAAAAACCGCTCGAATGTATGCCATTCAAATGATCCCGTCAGATGCAATATGCTAACTTAACAAATGGAACATTTCAATAAATTCCACTTAGTCATTACATTCTCTTTTAATAGTTTTATTCTTATGCATGTTATATTGCATAATTTAAATCTTTCAATTCGGTGGCGTCGTCGCTTTGTTTGAACTTGATCTTGATTTTGAAAATTACACGGTGAAACATTCAAGGATATTACTACACCACGCGTGAGTCAAGTAATTTACTTAAGTGGAACCCCTTACAATATCACTGAAATTTTTAGCTGGTTTTTCTGCTGTTTGAATCTTGATGAAAATGTTCGGTAGTAGTAGGTCCCAATCTTTAATTGTGTTTAGTATGAAGCTGAATTTTAATGTGTCCGCTTTTGTTTGCAGTCTCTGGAAATGTTGCCCGTAACGCATGTCAATTGTCATGCATGTTCTTGCCAATCTTCGTTGTCACCTAGATGTTTTTTTTTTTCAGTTGTAAGATGGCTTGACCGTGTATACCTTTGCAGAACAGAATAAGTCTGCTTTGGGTTCGACGATCTTTTAGGGATGGTAGTTGAACTTGCAGCTGGTCTAAAAATTGCTGTCATACTTCCTGGGTCGTAATTGTAGATTAATCATAACGTTTGTGGTCTTCCTTGCACGGAGCACAGCTGAACTACCAACAACAGAAAAATTTTACCGTTTTATTTAATTTTTAGATGTCAATGTCTTTGTCTGTATGAAGTAACTTTCAAACGCACAACTGATTAAAATTTTTGTTTCATAGATTTAGAGACGGACGCGCGCGGTTTTTTTAAAAAAAAGTACTTTTTTCTGTTCGACCTTTCATAACACGCGGGGAATCCGACGTACGAGGTATTAATTCGGCGTGGCCTGTGTAAATAGAAATCTATAGATTTTAACACAAGGTTTGAAACCACAAAAGGGAGGTTGGGATTGATTTTGGGGGTTATGGTCCCAACCGTTTAGGAATTAGGGGCAAAAAAGGGGCCAAAATAAGCATTTTTCTAGTTTCCAGACAATAACTTGTGGAACAGTGTACGGATCTCTGTTCAGGGTTGGACCTCTGCGGTCGTATCCAGCTGCGCTTGGCAAAGCAATTTATTACGGGAGTTTTGGGACTTTGACATTTTTTTTAGTATTGTAAGGACACCTTGTGAAAACATATCCTCTGAGTCAATTCTAGAGAAAGCTCTCATATGTGGTTGGGTCCTGAAATTGGTTTTCGTTCTCTAACTTTGTTTGCCTCAACCAAATGTTATGAAACTTATACACAATGCTTATCACCAAAAAACGCAGATCAAGTTTGAATTTGGTTGGCATCACTTTTACCTTTCAAGAGTTATGCTCCTTTACAAATGGAAAAATTGCTGAATTTTTCGTTTCCTCTCTCTAACTTAAGTTTGCCTCAACCAAATGTTATGAATCTTATACACAATGCTTATTACCACAAAAAAACTGTTCAAGTTTGAATTTTGGTGGCGTCACTTTTATGGTTCTAGAGTTATGCCCCTTTAAAAATGGAAAAATTGCTGAATTTTTCGTTTCCGTTCTCTAACTTAAGTTTGCCTCTTTCAAATGTTATGAAACTTATTCACATGCTTATTACTAGCAAACTCCGATCAAGTACGAATTTGGGTAGCCTCACTGCTACTGTTCTTGAGTTATATCCCTTTATAACGTTGTATGCAAGCGGGGTATCATTTGTGTCCCATGGACACATTCCCCATTTATTTAAATTTTGTTACAATAACACCTTGTGAATGCAACTTGTTTGCTATCATGTGTATTTGACCACATTATACTGTCATTTTGATTTGACAATTTTTATAGGAGTTATGGGGTTTTTACCATATTTTCACTGTCGCAACCACAATGACACACAATTATACATCTTGCTATGGTGTTGCAATCTTATTTTATACATTTTCAGGATAAAGTCTTCAAGATCCAAAAGTATTTGCACCTACAATAATCTACTGTTTTGCAAAAAAAAAATCTTTAATGAAAAAAGATTTCAAATATCTCCTACATGTACATGAACATTGTAATTCCGTACTGTAAGATACAATGAATCATAAACTATACACTTACATTAAACTTTAAATCTATCTTTAGTTTCTGTACATACTTTCATATTTTCAGCTTTCAGGTCATATATATATCTGTGTCCACATGTGGACACAATCCACATTTTTTTCTCTCAGATCGTTGGGACAAGTTGTGCTAGAGACTGCGTCCAAATCCAAATATATTTTTGCACAAATGTATTACACAACATATTACTATGTCCTTTAAGCACCTGCCCTTGGTGACTCTTGCATTTATATAACTACATACTAATCTTATTTATGTGCATTAGCCACGAGGAGGACTATAATATAGTAAAAAAAATTTAGTATTAGTTTATTCTTGTGTTGTAAAGTGTTTAAGTATTCATATTTTTGTGTATTGGCTTGAGTGTCCTTTAAGCACCTGCCCTTGGTGACTCCTGCATATTAACAACAATACTATTTGTTCATATGCATCAGCCACGAGGAAGGACTTAACTCAAAAAGCAATTTTTTTTTTTTTTTAATTTTTTTTTTATAATGGATGTGATGCAGCTTCTGGTATATGGTCAATAAACACTAAGCATACTGTTTTAACTGACTATATATATTATTAACTCAAATTATATTTCATGTTTTTCAATTGTTTTTTCTTATTATTAATCTATTACCAAACAGAAAACAATAAACTTGTGGGAAAGATGGTATATCGCAAACATGAGGTGCAAAAATTTGTACACCATATCCGGATTTCGACAATTAATATCTCTTCAGTGATGTTAGAAATCGAAACAGTATTTGGAAGGCCATACAATTTACCTCAATTTAGGATAGACTCTTGAATTTTGAAAGAGTCAAAATAGGATGAACGGATCGTAAAAACCCGAAGGCAAATATAATACAAGCCCAAACAAAAAAATATAAACAAGTCTAAATTAAAAACAACGTTCAAACCTATGATTGCGTTGGATAAAAACTGCAATTTTTATACGTGTGCATGCAAAACAAATTTCTTTTAGAGGGGTCTAAATACAGCACAAACAACATTTTTCAAAAGACCAAATAAGTGAAAAGGTATATTTTAACAAGAAATGATTGTAACAGGATTCTGTTACGAAGTCTCCCAAACGAAACTCCCATAATTCGTAATTCCCCGGGTCGCCTGACATTGAACAAAGTCCAGTGAAAATTGGTTTGGTCCAGTAAAGTTATATGCATTAGTGATGCCTGGGGACTAACCCTGTATATCATTCAAATCATCTTGGCATGACAAACCAGAATATATATGGTTTAGGGGTGGGGATCTCGACCATTTACAAGATACTAGAACATTGGGGATTGGGGAACCCCTGGGACTGACCGTATACGTCATTCAAATGTTCGAGACATGATGAACAGGAATATATATGGTTTAGGGGTGGGGATCTCGACCATTTACAAGATATTAGAACTTTCTCAAATGGCAGGGGGTCGGGATGACCCCTGGGGACTAACCCTGTATATCATTCAAACCATCTTGGTATGACAAACCAGAATATATATGGTTTAGGGGATGGGATCTTGACCACTTACAAAGATATTAGAACTTTCTTAAATAGCAGAGGTGGGGGGTGACCCCTGGGGACTAACCCTGTATATCATTCAAACCATCTTCGCATGACAAACCAGAATATATATGGTTTAGGGGTGGGGATCTTGACCACTTACAAGATATTAGAACTTTCTTAAATGGCAGGGGGTGGGGGTGACCCCTGGGGACTAACCCTGTTTTTCATTTGATGTGCTTTATCATGAGAAACCAGAATATATATGGTTTAGGGGTGGAGATCTCCACCATTTACAAGATATTAGAACTTTCTCAAATGGCAGGGGGTCGGGATGACCCCTGGGGACTAACCCTGTATATCATTCAAACCATCTAAGCATGACAAACCATAATATATATGGTTTAGGGGTGGGGATCTTGACCACTTACAAGATATCAGAACTTTCTTAAATGGCAGGAGGTGGGGGTGACCCTGGGGACTAACCCTGTATTTCATTTGATGTGCTTTATCATGACAAACCAGAATATATATGGTTTAGGGGTGGGGATCTCGACCATTTACAAGATATTAGAACTTTCTCAAATGGCAGGGGGTCGGGATGACCCCTGGGGACTAACTCTGTATATCATTCAAACCATATTAGCATGACAAACCAGAATATATATGGTTTAGGGGTGGGGATCTCGACCATTTACAAGATATTAGAACTTTCTTAAATGGCAGGGGGTGGGGGTGACCCCTGGGGACAAACCCTGTATTTCATTTAATATGCTTTATCATTTAGAACATTTTCAAATAAAAAGATTGTGTCTATCACAAACGGTTTTCAATTTATACTCATTTGAAAATTAAAAAAAATAAAATCCCATAGGGTTCTATAGAAAAACCCTCCTTTCTTTTTGCCCATCAAAGTACCCCTTTATAAACCCCATTGCACAAACAAAACCCTATCTGATGAGTTAAGCCTTTTTCAACTGATTTTTATGGTTTGTTCTTATGTTGTACTGTTACACTACTGTCCCAGGTTAGGGGAGGGTTGGCGCCTTCAAGCGAGTTTAACCCCGCCACATTCTGCATGTGCCTGTCCCAAGTCAGGAGCCTGTTATTCACTGGTTGACAATGTGGATTGGGCTATGTTCATTGTTGAAGGCTGTGCGGTGACCTAAATTTGTTAATTTCTGTGTCATTTGGTCGTCTCATTTGCAATCATACCACATCATCTTATTTTTATATTCAAACAATAAAAACAAGGTAACAGAATGATTAACTTACGCCAGTCTAGTATGGAGATGATGCTTCTCTTCTCCTGCACATTGATTAAAACTTTGTATTCTCTTGTTTGTTTAATTTAGTGCAATGATTTACTGTGTTAGTGCTCTGTTTTAATGTCAATTTAGTGTACTTTTTGGTGCTTTGTTTCAATGAATATGTAGTGTAATTGAAAATTTAGTGCTTTGTTTCAAAGAATAATTACTTCAATTGTAATATATCTATATTACAATTGATATTATTTACTTGTATATATTAATGTTTTTACCTAAATAATTTCAATTACTTGTGAATAACATTGTGCCTATAAATTTATTTTGTGCTTTTAAAAAATATTATTTTACAAAATGTGCTATGAAATTATTAAATAAAATATTGTAAAAGGAACTTTTTTTTTAATTTTCCACAAGATTTACCTGGATTTACCTTGGTTCATTAGTTTAGTGTTGTTACAACATAATCCTACATAATCCCATTGTTAACATAAAAATTCTGGGAACTCCAACATAAAATTTTACTATTTTACCTATAAAATTTTACTATTTTACCTATAAAATTCAAATGTAGGAATAGCCAGAATAAACCATTAATAAATACATAGAATAATGTCTTTGAGCATATATTTGTAGTTGTATCATGATTATGCCCCTTTTCTCCTTAAGACATATCATATAAAGTCATTAACATAGATGATTTATTTACATCCTTAGTCTTAAGTCTTTTTGTTTATTCTATTAAAGCTTATTTACTTTTGTTTATTTACTATTACAATAACATTTATTTCAGTTTAATACAAATGATGATAACAAATATATTTTAAAAAGTCTAAGTGAAATTAGAAATATTCAAATTGAAATGTGAAACTTGTCGTTATTGTTGGAATGCATTATAAAAAATCAGTAGACAATTAAAATATGACTATAATTTCATACAGGGTTACTAATACTGGCTTAATTAGATGTTGAAAATAATTCTTAATTATGTATCTCTTATATTTACAGATAACAATAGGAACGAAGAAGAGCTTGGAACATTTCAGTTTGGGAATTAATGAAACAGAGGACTTTTTAATATTAATGCCTCTTATATTTTAAGATATATTATTATTGCAGTTTTTATTTACATCCAAAGTCTTAAGTATTTTTGTTTATTTTCTAGAAGCTTATTTATTTTTACTTATTTAAATTTTTATTTACATATGTTTCATTTTTACATTAATTTTATATTTTTCATCCTTTAATTAACCTTTTTTTCCCTTAACATATATTTGTTTTTAAATATACACTCAGCTACATTTATCATTTTCAGCAGATCCTATTTGATGAAACAAGACCAAAAGGTACTCCTTCAAGGATATAAATTCTTGACTAACTTTTTCTTGTTGACAATCAGTTGAAAAAAAAATTTGACAAATGAGGATGTGCACGTCAACGATAAAAATGTAAAATATTCTGAATGTCACTGTTGGCGATTTTTTTCCTGCAAGGAAAGACTACTGTTTAATTCTGTAATTGTAAATGCTAGTCATTTGGTGTTGTTGGGGAAAGACGGTATTGCACCCTAAGTACCTATAATTGTGAATGCTAGTCATTCTGTGTTGTTGGGGGAAAGACGGTATTGCACCCTAAGTACCTATAATTGTGAATGCTAGTCGTTCTGTGTTGTTGGGGAAAGACGGTATTGCACCCTAAGTACCTATAATTGTGAATGCTAGTCGTTCTGTGTTGTTGGGGAAAGACGGTATTGCACCCTAAGTACCTATAATTGTGAATGCTAGTCGTTCTGTTTTGTTTGGGGAAAGACGGTATTGCATCCTAAGTACCTATAATTGTGAATGCTAGTCGTTCTGTTTTGTTTGGGGAAAGACGGTATTGCATCCTAAGTACCTATAATTGTGAATGCTAGTCGTTCTGTTTTGTTTGGGGAAAGACGGTATTGCACCCTAAGTACCTATAATTGTGAATGCTAGTCGTTCTGTTTTGTTTGGGGAAAGACGGTATTGCACACTAAGTACCTATAATTGTGAATGCTAGTCGTTCTGTTTTGTTTGGGGAAAGACGGTATTGCACCCTAAGTACCTATAATTGTGAATGCTAGTCGTTCTGTTTTGTTTGGGGAAAGACGGTATTGCACACTAAGTACCTATAATCGTGAATGCTAGTCGTTCTGTTTTGTTTGGGGGAAAGACGGTATTGCATCCTAAGTACCTATAATTGTGAATGCTAGTCGTTCTGTTTTGTTTGGGGAAAGACGGTATTGCACCCTAAGTACCTATAATTGTGAATGCTAGTCGTTCTGTTTTGTTTGGGGAAAGACGGTATTGCATCCTAAGTACCTATAATTGTGAATGCTAGTCGTTCTGTTTTGTTTGGGGAAAGACGGTATTGCACACTAAGTACCTATAATTGTGAATGCTAGTCGTTCTGTTTTGTTTGGGGAAAGACGGTATTGCATCCTAAGTACCTATAATTGTGAATGCTAGTCATTCTGTGTTGTTTGGGGAAAGACGGTATTGCACCCTAAGTACCTATAATTGTGAATGCTAGTCATTCTGTGTTGTTTGGGGAAAGACGGTATTGCACCCTAAGTACCTAGAATTGTGAATGCTGGTCATTCCATATCTGTATGATACAAAAGGACATTGTCTCATCGGCAATCATACCACATTCTTTATTTTTATATAGAATATTGAAAAGGACTTTTGTTACTTTCTTATTTTAAATAATAAATATGTTAAAGGTTGATAATGTAGCTGGTGTCTTTTTTTCTTTCATTTTTTTTTTCAATTTGTTTTCCTCTTTTGTTTATTAGTTTAATAAAAATTGAATCTTATGTATGCTTTAGTGTTCTATTTGGATAAACTAAGTATTAACAAGTAATTTCAATCGTCAATATCCAAACCATCCACCGAGACCATTGTATAAATGGTGAAATAATCAGTGCAAAATAGTTGTATCCAATGTTCAGCCTGATTGATTTTCCAATTTGTTTTTCATTGATAATCTATCAAAATTAATGGTCATTTCATTACCTTAATACATCCTGTTGGAAAGATGCGTGGTTCCGTCTTCAGGTGAGTCCTCCTTCCACGGCTGTTTCGGCGCTGTCCACTACAACCTCCAGAGGTGCGCCGACTGGGGTGATCAAGTCCCAGCCCGAAACCACATGGCTATCCATCCCTGCCTCTACACTTTACTGCTTCCACTGCTCAGACCTTTTCCTCCACAGCCACATTGATGATGTCTCTGCCTCTTTGCACAAGTTAACAATCAGCTTACTTCTTTCCCCTCCAACAATTCAAAGTGCTCTTAATGCCCTCCACATAGACTGTCCAACAAACCCTCTGCTTCCCACTTCCACTGGAAATAACCAAACCCTCCATCCATTATCTCTACATTCTGCAAGTAGGTCTTGATACTTCAATCTCTTTCTTTCGTTGGCATCATCTATTCTTTCTTCCCATGGCACGGTTAGTTCCGCAGGATTGCCTGTTTTGTTGAGGCTGACCAAATGACGATGTCAGGTCTCTGGTTTGTTACTGCAATCTGTGGCGGGAATTGTAACTTCTGCTTCAGATCCACCAACATTTGCCAATCAGTTGCTGTTCCCAGTAAGCCACTTCCTTCCACACTCATCTTCTGTCCTTTCTCTCCTTCCTTAACAAAATTGACAAAAGTCAGGCCTTCCTTGTTTTTTCTTGGCTTCCTGATGTTTCTCTCTAGGGTGTCTGCTAGTGTCCCTAATACCTTGTCATGTCGCCATGTATACCTCCCGTCTTTCAAAGCACTCGAGCATGAAGATAACATATGCTCAAAGTTTGCTGGCTTACTGCAAAGAACACACTTTGGGTCATCTATCAATCCCCATATTGCTAGATTTGTTGGGCTTGGCAATACATCATATACTGACTTCAGCTTGAATTGCAACCTATGTTGCTCCATCTCCAGATCTCATTCCATCCTAACTTCTGCTGCCTTGCTCCTTCCCAGTTTAACCAGCTTCCTTGTTTCTTCATACTCACTGCCTTTACCATTCTACTTTCTTCTTCCATTGATCGTACCTCTTTCTGTACCAGGTGTCTTTTTTCCTCCACTGTTGCTGTTCTCCATTTTGCTGTAGGTGTAACATCCAGCCCCTGTCTTCTAACTGCAACTCTGCCAACTATCTCACTGTGTTTCAATCGAAAATTCAGCATCTTCTTTTGTCTTCTTTGTCGACCACTTCCTTCCAGTTCTTATTTCTACTTTTGTTGACCGTACTTTCTCATCCCTGCTGTTTTTTAACATCAGATGTTGTCTAACCTTGGTCACCTTGAATTCCTCAGTGATTGACTTGAGTGGTAGCTGTAACTTGCTTCCTAAACTGTATAGGCCCACACTGCTAAAACTGCGTGGTACTCCAAGCCACCTACGTAAGTAACTGTTTGATATTCTTTCCATTCCCTCTACCGTTGTCATTGGTACATCATACACAAGAAGTGGCCACAGCAGCCTAGGCAATATCCCATGCTGGTAAATCATGCCTTGTATTTTCCTGGTAATCCGCTCTTATCTACTGCCTTTAACCAGTCGTCCAACTGCTTATATGTATTTTCCACATTCAACTTATCTGACAAGGTGTTGTTGAACCATTTTCCGAGGCACTTAACTGGCTTCTCTGAGACTTGGTATTATCTCGTCTCCTATTTTAAACCTTTCCTCCTTAACTTTACCATTCTTCACCACCAAACTTCTGGATTTGCTCGGCTTCACTTTCATTCTTGCCCAGGTGATCATCTTATCAAGCTCTTGTAATGTCCATCTGGCTTCAATCACTGTCTTTTTGCTTATTGTCATATCATCCATGAATGCCCTTCCTGGTGGTTGCCGTACTCCTGACTTCATCCATGGCCCTCTGCTCTTCTTCTCTACTAACTTCACAATCATATTCATTGCTGCTGAGAAAAGGATGACAGATATCGTGCATCATGTCACTATTCCCACTTCTAAACGTTGCCATGATGTTGTATAATCTCCAACGGTAAATCTCAGCTGTAGATGGTTGAAGTACTCTTTTATCAGCTGTCTTCTTCCGTCAGGTACATGGTATATTTCCAGCAACTCAACTAACTTGTGTGGTACTGTCCCATATGCATTCGCTAAATCCAACCAGACGACTGCGAGCTCTCCCTTTGAATCTTTCGCTTCTCGGATTATCTGTGATAATACGCTCGTGTGTTCAATACAGCCTGATACACCTGGTACCCCTCCTTTCTGTACTGCAATGTCAATGTAGTCGTTGCTCAGCATGTAGTTTGTCATCCTTTTGGCAAGAATAGCAAGAAATATCTTTCCTTCCACATTTAACAGTGAGATTGTTCTAAAATGTTTCAATGTCTCTGACTTCTCTTCCTTTGGTATAAAGCACCCTTCTGCCTTGTGCCAACTCTCTGCAAGTCGACCTCTTCTCCAAATGACCCTTATTAGTTTCCATAAACGTCTTGTAATTCTCTGACAGTTCTTGTATACTTTATATGGTACTCCATTTGGACCTGGTGCTGATGCTGCTCTTCCTTTCTTGATAACATCTACTACCTCTTTCAACTTTGGTGGTGATTCATCAAAAGCCTGCTCTGGATCGTCCGGGCGTATTAGTTGTTCTATCTCCGGTAGGTATTCTTCCCTTTTTGGATCACTGTGCATTTCTCTTAGATATTCTTCTACTTCCTCTTTACTGGCTTTCAGTTGTCCTGACCCTTTCTTCCCCAACAATCTTGATGTAAATTGGAAAGGATCTGATGTAAATTGAGCTCTTGCTTTCTCTCTCTTCTTTCTCCTTTTCCTAGTTCTCTCTGCTCTCCTTGCGATCTTGAGGTTCTTCCTGATGGTGTCCCTGAGTTCAGATAATGCTCGTTTTTCATCCTCTGATGCCTGATTATATCTTTTTTTAAGTTGCCTTAGGTCTTTCCTCATCTTTGCTATCTTGGATTCTCGTCTGTTCTTTTGACCCTCTCGCCTCACCACCTCTTTCTCATCTGCACCAAATCTGTCCATACCAATGTTGTAAATAAATGATGTCATCGATTCTATCTTCCTGTCTATGTTACCTGCTAATGTTGTGGTTAAAATTGCATCCACATCCTCATCAAACTGTTGCCATTCACTTTTACTTTTATTGTTGGGCCATTTTACTCTCTTTCTCCTTATGTTGTTCTTGCTTGTGTCTGATGTTCTTTTGGGCTCTTGTGGCTGTCTGTTGTTGTCTAAACCCTCCTGTTCCTGTTGATTCCTCTCTACCATGCTGTGCTCCTCATTGTTTAACACATGGAGGCTGTGGTCACTGTGGTTTGTATCCTGAACCACCTCCTCCTCCGTCTCACCAGGCTGCCCTGTGCGTTGTGTTATGCTCTGATTTGGCTTGCATTTCATCTTTCCCATATGTATCTTCAGACCACGTTGGTTCTTGCAAACTTTCCCACAGATGCATACATTTCCGTTGTTAAAATTCGTAGTCCTTGTTTGGTCCTGTGTCTTTTCCGGTGTTACCAATCCTGTAGGTTGCTCATCCTCCCCCGCTCTCGCACAACATTGGGGGTGTCTTATTATATATCGTTCCATAGCTAGATGAAAATGGGTTCTTCCTCACAGAAGATGTGCTTTGGCCTGCCAAGCCTCTGCACCCCTTGATCCCAGTCTCTCCTGAAAGTCTCCTGTCTCTCCAGGTTGTCACTGTTCTGTTCTCAGTTGTCATCCAGACTTTCCTGGCTGTCACTGGTTTCCCAGGTTAAATTACCTTAATACATCCTGTTGGAAAGATGCGTGGTTCCGTTTTCAGGTAAATCCTCCTTCCTCTGCTGTTTCGGCTGTCCACTACAACCTCCAGAGGTGCGCCGACTGGGGTGATCAAGTCCCAGCCCGAAACCACATGGCTATCCATCCCTGCCTCTACACTTTACTGCTTCCACTGCTCAGACCTTTTCCTCTACAACCACATTGATGATGTCTCTGCCTCTTTGCACAAGTTACCAATCAGCTTACTTCTTTCCCCTCCAACAATTCAAAGTGCTCTTAATGCCCTCCACATAGACTGTCCAACAAACCCTCTGCTTCCCACTTCCACTGGAAATAACCAAACCCTCCATCCATTATCTCTACATTCTGCAAGTAGGTCTTGATACTTCAATCTCTTTCTTTCGTTTGCATCATCTATTCTTTCTTCCCATGGCACGGTTAGTTCCAGGAGGATTGCCTGTTTTGTTTAGGCTGACCAAATGACGATGTCAGGTCTCTGGTTTGTTACTGCAATCTGTGGCGGGAATTGTAACTTCTGCTTCAGATCCTCCAACATTTGCCAATCAGTTGCTGTTCCCAGTAAGCCACTTCCTTCCACATTCTTCTTCTGTCCTTTCTCTCCTTCCTTAACAAAATTGACAAAAGTCAGGCCTTCCTTGTTTTTTCTTGGCTTCCTGATGTTTCTCTCTAGGGTGTCTGCTAGTGTCCCTAATACCTTGTCATGTCGCCATGTATACCTCCCGTCTTTCAAAGCACTCGAGCATGAAGATAACATATGCTCCAAGTTTGCTGGCTTACTGCAAAGAACACACTTTGGGTCATCTATCAATCCCCATGTTGCTAGATTTGTTGGGCTTGGCAATACATCATATACTGACTTCAGCTTGAATTGCAA